GTAAATAGGGAAGGGTGGAGGGGGTGAAGGGTGCACAGGTAATGGGGAAAAAATAAGAACCAAGATACATCATGTTCAGGTACAAGCACCCAATGATAAAGGTAAATGTACTGTATACTTGAAATGTACCAATTAATATATAAATTTTTTTTAAAAAAGGAAATGGTGAAAAGTCCCAGGTTAGGGGAGGAGGAGGAGGAGGCACCCAGCTGACAGGGACTCAAGGTTTGGAGGCGTATGGCTGGGCCCTGTGTCCGGGCATCCTCAGAGGGAAGCAGCTGGGGTGGGGCTGCACAGTGCAGCAGTAGTAACACCTGCAGTGAGCGTGGACTGCATGGGCTGCACATGCACCAGTCGTACTCTTGGGGGTTCCTGTGACCCCAGGAGCAGCTCATGGAGCTGAGTGAGCACTGTCTCAGGTCCCAGCTTCGCTACAGCAAAGGGTCCATGTCAGGGCAGTCAGGTCCCAGAGGGCACTGTTAAGAGGGCCTGGCAGTGTCCAGTCACCTGCCGGGGTCAGTCAAGGACGCTCCAGATGTGGTGTTTTCTTGGAATATTGTTATATAAACTACATTTTTCCCTGGTATTGGGGATTGAACTCAGGGCCTTCACACTGAGCTTTGTCCCCCGCCTTTTATTTTTCAGGGTCTTGGTAAATTCCCCACGCTGGGATCAAACTTGCAAGCCTCCTGCCTCAGCCTCCCTGGGTGCTGGAATCACAGTCCCGCATCCCCACACCTGGCTGGGTCAGGCACTGGTTTCACAGGGTGGCTGGCTGCAGGATCAGTGCACAGCTTCAGGGCTGTGTCCCAGGCTTCACCAGGGACGACTGAGTCATTGTCACCATGGGGCTGGGTCTCCAGCTCCCCCACCCAGTCAGGCTGGTGGCGCCCTGCCAACTCCTGGTCACATGCTCTGTCTTTCCGGGTGACCAGCCTGTCCAGAGCTATCTTCTACATGGAGGCTCAGATGTGGCCCTAGGGACCAGGGACCTTGGAGACCCCAACAGCTCGGCTCAGGGCCGTGGTACAGCATGCATCCAGCAGTAAGGGAGATGAGGAGCACAAGGGCGTGGGCCTGCTGCAGCTACCGGCCACAGGATGCACACCTGCTCTGCTGTCCCAGGAACGTCAGTGTCAACCCCATCGTGGTCTGGTGCGGTGCCCCAGCGTTCCGACCTGGGACAGGAAGTGCTTGTGCAGCGGCAGTGGGCAATGCTGGGGTCCAGGGCAGCCTGGCAGGTGCATCCTGCGACCTGGAGATGGAGCAGCCTTAGAGCAGCTTGAAGTCGTGTACCCAGGTGTGGCCTGGGCAACGCTCTGGGTCCCAGACAGGCCTGGGACGGGTGCCACGTTCTGTCCCACGGGTGTACCTGGCGCATCTTCTGCCGCGCTGCACGCTCGGTCTCTCCCAGTGTCCTCCGATTGAACATCTAACTCTCTCCTCAGAAGATCCCGGAACCCTCCAGGCCCAAGCTCCCTCCACCTGTCCCCCACTCAGAGACAGGCTGGGGCTGGAGGGAGGGCCTCCATGTGGAGCCCAGGGTTCTGTCCCGGCCCCCAACACACACAAGGACTCCCACCCCACCCTCCACCCCCCGCTCCTCCAATCTGTCTGCACCTGAGCACTGGGGTAAACCTTTCTTTTTTTTGGTGCTGGGGATTGAAGGATTAAAACTATTCTTGCTGAGCTGGTCGAGGACTTGTCAGGGATTTCAAACTGCTAAATGTGATGAGTCCCTCCCTCCCTTAAGAAGTGACAGTCATTTGCCATCCCATTTAGGATCAAGAAAAAAGTTCCATTAGTGTCAGTGATTTGAAACTCTTGTCCCTTTGTCATAGAAAAAGGTGTAACACTATGAATTTCAATGGCTCCTGTGAGGAATTTGCCACCGTGACCAGCAGACTTCCCTGTGGCACAGAGGACTCTTTCGGTCACCATCCATCTCCACACAGAGTCCATTGACATCCAAATACTTGAGTTTCCGGCCCAGCTCATCTGCATCCTGAGCGCCTCATTACCTCCTAAGGTTGAAAAGCTGGACAGACTGAAATCCAGCTTCTCGTCTTACACCATCAGAGAAATGGGGTCCCACTTAGGGAGACAGGAGATGGGGCCGGAGCGGAGGCCACCATGGGACACTCCAGTGGGAGCCGACACTCATGTCCCCTGCAGTGTCACCAGGTCCTCAGTGGGTCCTGGAGGAAAAGTCGTCCCATAAGAACTCCAGAGCATCTGTCCCCAGAGGGGTGCTCAGGAGGGAGTGGACCCCAGGAGATGCCCCGCCTCCCCAGCCTGGATCCCACTGAGCAGGGGATGTGAAGGACATGGGCAGCCCATGGGGAGGGGGGTGCCCCAAACCTGAGAGCTAGGGTCGGGGCCACCCAAGGCTCCTCCCCTCTTCCTAGAAGCACCAAGTTCCTTCAGCCACCTCATAGCAGTGGATTTCAACAGGAAGTCACTAGTGTTGACTGAGAGTGAACTCAAGTCAACCAGATCAAAGAAGATTGCCTTGGTATGGCGCTGATGAGGACTGCAGTCCTGGACACAGATGGAAGGAAGCGATCTTGAAATCATGCCCCCTGGTATTGGGAATGGCACTTGTCCCCTGGCTCCAGGACATTAGTGGGGAGACAGGACAGGGCAGGCAGAAGGGCCAGACACAGTGAGGCCTCTGGGCCTTGGAAGAAGGGGCCCTTGTATGGAGGTCAGCAGTGGTCAGCAGTGTCCCAAGAATCTGCGCCTAGCTGGGTCCCAAGATCATCCCACACACTGGGCCCTGGTCAAGTCTCTGAGAGTGGCCCAGAGTTTAGGGCTGTCACAGCTGAGGAATTCAGGTTATTTTGTTGTAAGGTACTCGAACTACCTGTGAAATCCTACACTGTCATTTAAAAGTGACTTCAACTGGTTTTAATTCTACGTTGCAAATTCTAGGGCAACTACGAAAAGAATAAAGAAAAATGTATAACTCGTACACTAAGAAAGGACAGAAACTGGAACTATATAAAATGTTCAACTAAAACCAAAAAAGGCAGAAAAAAATGTAGAAGACAAAGTAGGAACAGAGGAACAGCATGACACAGAGAAAGTAGGTAACAAGCCAGGCATGGTGCACACACCTGTGACCCCCCCCAGCACTCGGGAGGCTGAGGCAGGAAGGTCACCATGAGCTCGAGGCCAGCCTGGGCTCCACAGTGAGTTCAAGGCCAGCCTACATCACAAGACAGAAATGGACAGGTCCAGCAGGAAGGAAGGAAGTCATACAGACCTCTTCACCCACTGAGTATGTGGGCACCCACTCCTGGCTCTAAAGCACAAGGAACAAATTTCAAAGGGTAGAAATCCCATAGTCTAGCTATCAGAACACCATGGAATTAAACTAGAAATCAATTATAGGAAGAAAGCTGGGAAATGCTAAAACAATGGGAGATTAACACCCTTCTAAATAACATGTGGGTCAAAGAAGAAATCTTAAGAGAATTTTAAATATTTTTTACTAGATAAAAATGAAATGTAACATATCCAAATATATAGGATATACTTTGAAAACTGGCACATGAAAGCTACAAAACCTTTGTTTTTCTGCATGTTGGTGTACATGTGGATATCATGTGTGCATGCAGCTTTTATGTCTACATATATGCTTATGTGTATATATGTTTACATGGTGCCAACTTGACATAGAAGCAAATAAATGTTTATAAATTTTAAAAATTGGAAAAGAGAAAGAAAGAAAAAAAAAAGGTTGGGGATTTAGCTTAGTGGTTCCACTGCCTGCCTCGCAAGAGCAAGGTTCCAAGTTCGATCTCCAGTACAAAAAAAAAAAATTGTGTGGAAGCTGGGCATGGTGGCACACACCTGTAATCCCAGCACTCAGGAGACTGAGGCAGGAGGATTGCCATTAGTTCGAGGTCAGCCTGGGCTACATAACAAGACCCTAAAAATAAATGAATAAATAGATAGATAAATAAATAAATAAATAAATAAATAAATAGTGTGGGATATAGCAAAAGCAAAGCTTACAGGGCTGGGGACTAAGCTCAGTGGCACCACGCCTCCCTGGCAAGCGCAAGGTCCTAAGTTCGGTCCCCGGTACCACAAAAAAAAAAAGGAGCAAACCTTACAGGAAAATTTATGGCATTGAACGTATGTATTAGAAAGGAGAGTGGCCGGGGATTTGGCTCAGTGGTTCCGGTGCCTGCTGAGCAAGTGCAAGGTCCTGAGTTCGATCCCGGGTACAAAAAAAAGAAAAAAAAAGGAGAATCAATCTAGCTTCACACTTTAGGACAGTAGAAGAGTGAACTAAGTCCAAAATAAAAGGAAGAAAGGAACTAACAAAAATTAGACCAGGGCTTTTGGCAGGATTCAGAAGGTGTGGACATCAAACTGGGTGTATGTGCTAATGGGCTCCTCATTTACTAAGATAGACTGAGAATCAATCATTTTGCTTGGCCAAAAATCCTGGAATTTCCTATAAGCGCAGTAACTTCTACATTAAAGTTGGGTCAGCAGAGCTGGAACAGTTCAGAGCACCATTGGATTCAAACTGCCAAACCATCGGGCAGCAAAAAGACTATGGAAAGGGTGTGTGGAGCGTCATACTCTCTACAGGCTTGTGTGTCCAGAGCAGCCACCAAAGGCCAAGCTCCTGACCTTCGGGTCCAAATTCCGCTACAGTGGTCACACCCAAGCGCAGACCCACCAGGGGAGCACCCTCATAGATAGGCCAGCACCTCTAGTAAGTGAGTCTCCAGGAGCTTAGATGGAGCTCTGATTGGTGTTGGGGACCAAACTCCTGTGAGGGGTATTCCTGGTGCTGTGGGGGAAGCCTCAGCGTTTGGCCCTGGGGTTGGCGGCACTGCCAGGGCCCAGGATGAGGGCCCCGGCCAGAGCCCCTTACTCTCAGCTCTCTGAAGGAAAGAGCTCACATGAGACTTTGAATGTAGTGGGGAGAAGCAGCGGGCAGAGGTTGGAAAAGATGAAAGAGTAATCACAGAAGAAGTGAATAGTAAAGAGCTATCACCTGGGAGTGGCACACAAAGACTCCACCTCCCTGTCTTCTGAGAACAGCAGCAGCAGTGAGAGTGAGGAGGAAGATGTGGGCGAGTACCAGCCCCAGCAGCGTGTGACCGAGGGCACCATCAGGGAGGAGCAGGAGGAGAGTGACGAAGAGGTGGAGGAAGCGCCTGGCCACACAGCCCAGGTAGTGGAGAGGGAGGAAGCGGTGCCCGAAGGCAGCCCGGACAGACACGCAGGGCCCGGTGTGAGCCCCGTAGACACGGAGGCCCAGGACTGTGTAGGCGCCCCAGAGGGATCTGGAGAGAAGAGTGCAAACAAAGGCTCTGTTAAGCAAGACGGGAGAGAAGAGACCGAGGAAGAGCAACAGAAAGTTCATGAAGAGGTGTCTCATGTTGACATTGATGTTTTGCCCAAATTATTTGTTGTTCAGAGCCACCAGTGGTAAAAACAGAGATGGTAACAATTTCTAATGTCTCACAAAGGACAGAAATCTCCACCAAGGACATCCCCCTTGTCCAAACTGAGACCAAAACCATCCCATGTGAGTTTCCACAGATTGAAGGCAGGGCTGCTGGTGATTCGGGCACGTTACTGAATGCACAGACCATCACAGCTGAGTCCATGTCAGCAACGACAACCACGCACATCACCAAGACTGTAAAAGGTGGGATATCTGAACTGAGAATTGAGAAGCGCATTGTGATCACAGGAGATGCAGACATCGGCCATGATCAGGTGCTGGCCCAGGCAATCAGGGAAGCCCGAGAGCAGCACCCTGACATGTCGGTCACCAGAGTAGCTGTGCACAAAGAAACAGAGCTGTCAGAGGAAGGGGAAGAGTTAACCAAAAACGTCATTCTTTAAACAACATTTAACTTTGTGAACCTGGAAAATTTTGACCATTTCAAGACTTCATGCCACACCTCTATTCCAGCGTATTTGTGCTATGACTGGTAACCATGACCACAGGCTGAAGAGTTAAAATGCCAGCATCCAACCTTACCTTAACAGCGCTGATCTACACTGTTTCCGCACGTTTTTAATATGTTACTTTGTTTTATAACCACTTCTAAATATTCTTGGCTCTTTCTTTTTTCCCCCTATTAAGGGGTTTTGTTTTTGTGTTTTATTTACTTTGTGTACAACTACTTGCTTTTTATGACTCATTTGCTCATCTGACAGCGAACAAAGCCAGCCTGGGCTGGTAAGGTGCCGTTCACTTGAACAGGTGCTGTTGTGTGGAAAGGAAACTCTGACTAATTTAGATAGTGGTTTTCCTTCTTCCAAATTCTTTCCATTGAATTCCTACAGTAAATATTTGCAGAGTTTTCAGATTGCAGTAGATATACTCTCTGAGAAATATTAATACCAATTAAAAGTATTTCTTACATCTTGAAAATTTTCTAATGTTTGAGAATTTCACTGAAATGTTTTTTATATTGAACCCTTTTGACTTTCCAGTCCTGTGATTTTTTAGAGAGTCAGAGACTCCCCAGACTGGAGAATTACCAATTCACTGACCGTGCACTGTGTTCAGAGGCCTGTGGCACCATAGTGCCAGTGCTTCTCAAACACATGCTCTTCGACAGCATTCCAGAGCAGGAGGGAGGAGAGAGGGCGGTTTCTTCCCTTCTACTAAAAGAACCAGGCAGCTTAAAACCTTAGTGCTTTCTTTCTTAATGTTTCCAACTTCCAGTTCTTTCCATTATCTGAACACATGGATAGTCCCCTTGCTTTTTATTAAATCTCCCTGTCTATATGTAAAACTGACCTTTTGTTATTGAGCAGGTATATCTCTCAGATAACTTGATGACTTGTTCAGGTTTGAGGATACTGGGGAGAGGAGTAGGGGCCTCGGTGGTTGTAAGAAAGCTAAACCATTTAAAGCTGACACCAGAGACCTGATAGGGACTTATTAACTACGCTGAACATTTTCCTCTTACTTTTGACCCTATGTATAATTATGATGCCAGATTAGATTTATAGCAGCTTCAAGTTGCATTAAATGATGTTTTGCTTTCTGTAATACTGTTATAAAATAAAGTTTGTTTATTCCCTGAAAAAAAAATAGAGCAGGAAGCAATGGACTTGGAAAGAGAAAATCAATAAAACCAAAAGGTAGTTCTTGACAAGATCAATAAAATTGAAAAACCAGGCTAACAGATAGAAAGAAGATATGAGGAATGAGAAAAGGGCAGCACTTCGGAGCCCAGGGGCACCGGAACGGTGATGAGCGAAGACAATCCTGCCTTGGAGTCAACAACCTGATGAAAGGGAGGAGACCACTGTCTGAATGAGCCTGTCTACTGCAGAAACCAAGACGATGGTGAGCAACCTTTCCAAAGAGGGCACAGGCCCAGAGAGGTCCCTAGGGTTCACTTCTGCAGGGCGAGGCCGAGACCAACACCCTCACCCTGAGAAGCTCCCACCTCCGCTGTGCTGCCCACCAGGAGGGCGTCCACACCACCAGGCTCAGAGCAGCCCTCGGTGTCAGCTCTGCATCCTGAGCGGGAAACAGACTCTGTCCTTGCCTTAGCCAGACCTGTGTGGACCATCAGCACCAAGGACAGCGCCTGGCTGGGCCTCCTGGGGCTTGTCAGGCTGGGCCCGGGCAGAGTGCTCAGAGTGCCACTGTGGAGCCACCCAGTGCTGTGTGGACGTGGGCAGGTCCCCAGGACTCCCCACTGCCACATCAGGAAGAGGAGTAAGCTGAGGTTGGCTCCTCGAGTAAAGGAGGTGACCTGTGTGGGACCAGGGAGGTGCCTAGCAGGAGCACACCCAGCAGACATGCGGGCCCTGTCCACAAGGTGAGTTGGTGTCTGTACCCCACACAGTGCAGGGCATCCCCAGGGGAGTGAGCCCTGTGCCAAGGCATGCAGGGGGCCCTCAAAGGTTCGTGTTTGAGGAACTCTGGCCCCAGAGATGGGGGTGCTGCAGGCCTTGAAAAAGAGGGACACACAGGGGTCCTCAGGAGACATCCAGGGTGTATGACAATGCCCTCCTGAGGCTGGGAAGGACAGGGTGGGAGCTGCAGAGGAAGAGATGCCTGTGGGGAGGGAGAACAGCAGGCTCGAGATGACAGAGCTTCCCCAGGGTGCCCAGGGGTGAGAGTGTCTGTCCAGGGCCACTGTGAGCAGACTGGACCCCAGTGCAGCCGTCCAGGAGCAGAGCCCTACGCACAGCACACTGCTCCAAATAAGCTGTGTTCATTTCACAGTGACCGTGCAAGAGAATCGTGTGCCCATCTTATGCAGGGGAGCTTTCTAGTCCCCTGCAGCCACAAACTGGTGAAACGACAGAATGTCTCCACAGAAACTGCAGGTGAGGGCTTCTGTAGCAGGTGGGGCGTCCAGGGCTCGGGAAGGTTCGAGGACTGGGGCCCCATCCTCCCACTTCCTGTGGCCCATAGAGGGCAGTAGGTGTGCCCCTGGCCACAGAGCCCGGGGAGCCCCGCTCTAGGACCCCGCCGTGGTGCTCACCCTGGCTGGCACCCACTATCCTGGGCAGGGGCTGCAAGAACCAAGCTGTTGGTGCCGGACACACAGAAAATGGACACAGGAATGGCACACACGTGGAGGTGGGTCCCTGCCACATGGCACACCCAGGAAAGCAGCCACAACAAACCAGGAAACCCAGGCAGCCATGGACCCAGAGGCAACTGAGCAAACCAAGTAAGACTTTAGAATGAGTCCAAATGACATCGCAGAGAGGCAAGAGTGCACTAGAAGCCAGAAAAAGATTTCATTACAAATCTTGGCAGCATCCAGACAGGAAAAGTGTACAGATGACAGTCTTGTCCCTGGACAATCCTAAGGAACACACACACACACACACACACACACACACACACACATATGCCCACAGCTATTAGAGCTGCAGAATGGATGTGGAAAGCCACAGGATCCAAGGTCAACATGCAAAAGTCAAAAGTGTTTCCGCACAGCAGCCATGAGCAGGAAAACAGGGTGAAGAAAACAAACATGAGGGCTGGGCTGCAGCTCAATGGCAGCTCAGCTCAGCATATTTGAGGCCCTGTGTGTTCAATCCACACCACTGAAAGAGAGAGAAGAAGAGAAGGAAGAGGAGGAGGAGGGAGGGGAGGAGGATTGGAAGGGAACAGGGAGAGAGAAAGAGAAAAGGAGGGAGGGAGAAAAGGAGAAAGAGACAGAGAGGGAGGGAGGAAGGACGGAAGGAAAAAAGAAAAAGGAAGAATTACATATTGGTTTGCTATTGCAAAATGCCACAAACCCAGGGGCTTAGGCAGAAACGGTACTGGTCGGAGTGTTCCCTCTGAAGACACCAGGGGAGGATCTGTCTCTGTAGATCTTTGGTGTCAGAAGAGTAACCCAGTCTTCATCTTCACATTGAGTTCTCCCTGTGTGCCCCTGCTCAAGTGTCCCTTTTTATTTGTTTTTGTTTTGTTTCGTTTTTTGACACAGGGTCTCACTATGTAGTTTAGGCTGGCCTTGAACTTGCAGCCTCCCAAGTGCTGGGATTATAGGCATGCATTGCCACGCCCAGCCCAAGTGTCCCTTTCTAGGTTTTTTTTTTTTTTTTTGAGACAAAGTTTTTTGCTATGCAGATCAGGCTGGACTTGAACTCACTTTGTAGTCCAATCTCACTTCAAACTCGTAGTGATCTTCCTACCTCAGCCTCCCAAGTGCTGGGATTATATACATGTGCCACCACACCTAGCTAAATGTCTCTTTCTCTTTTTTTTTTGGCACCAGGGATCAAACTCGGGTCTTTGAGCTTTCGAGGCAGGCACTGAGCTAAATCCCTGGCCCTAAGTGTCCCTTTTTTATGAGACTCATGTTATGCTGGATTAGGGCCAACTCTGCTATAGTGTGGCTTCATCTTAAATTAGAAATTTAAAAAGCCTTAAGATCTATAAATTTAATACAATCTCTTTTATTAAAAAAAAACTGAATTTTTTTTTCTTTTGGTACCAGGGATCGAACTTGGGTCCTTGTGCTTGCGCAGCAGGCAGCGAAACCACTGAGCTAAATCCCCGGCCCCCAAAAAACTGAATTCTTTGTAAAAACTGACAAGCTGTTCCAAAAATTCAAGGAACCCAGAATAGTCACAACAATCTTGAAAAAAGATGAACCAAGTTGGAGGACTTGCATTTCCTGGTTTCAAAACACTACAAAGCTACAGTAATTACTGGTGTGGGACAGATGGACACAGAACTCAATGAAATAGAACTGCGTCCTGAAACAGACCCTTGCGTTGACAAGAAGTGGTCTCTGAAAAGACTGCCGTACAAGCCCACCGGGGAAAGAAGAATCTTCTCAACACAGGGGTCGGAGCCAGGTGAGTGTTCACCTCCAAAAGGATGAAGGTGGACCCCTACCTCACACCATGTGTAAAACTAACAAGACAGAAACCTAAACTTCAGAGCAAAAATTTACAAACTCTTAGAAGAAAACACAGGGAAAATCTTTATGTTGGATTTGGCAGTGAGTTCTTGGATCAGACACGAAAAGCACAGCTACTGGAACCCTCACACCACGTTGGTGGGATGTTAAAAAGGTGCAGCTTAGATGGAAACTAGGTCAGCAGCTCCCCAAAAACAAGACATAGAGATAGTGTGTGCAGTAGCATGGTCATGCCCAGGTGTACATCCACAGGAACTGAAAGCAGGACTCGAAGGGCCTCACGCACCATCTTTCACGGTGGCATCAGTCTCAGAAGCCAAAAGGTGGGAACCACCCAGGTGCCCATAACAAATGATAGATACACAAGACGTATGATCTGCCATGGAGCACTACACAGCCGTGCAAAGAAACGGAGAGGTGACACATGCTACACAAGGGCGAACCCTGAAAACATGACACTCAGGAAAAGGAGCCTAACGCAAA